CATGCAGGCTTTTACGCAGAATGTTTTTCACCAGGTGTTGAAGTGATTACTGTGGCGGCTATTATTAACACTGGTATTGATAAAATTTGCAAGCGAAATTAAAAAAAATTCAGAAATTCAAAATTTATATGGGGGGGGGGCTAAATTCCTAAAGGGGGCGATATTCCTAGGAGATTCGCCCCCTGGGGGGCGATATGCCTAGGAGATTCGCCCCGGGAAGGCGAATATCCTAGGAATATCGCCCCCCTTTTGAGAGGGGGGCGAATCTCCTGGGGGGGGGGCGAATCTCCTGTGACACCGGCATGGAATTCTGCCGGAAAATCATCACGGTTTCAACTGTTCGCACGATACCGGCAGATTATATTCCGCTTTGACAATATGCTGCACAAATCAGTTAAAATAGACAGAATAAAATATTCAATTAACAACTTTTGCAGTTTTGTTCATTTCATTTTGCATAACCGTAATGAAATTATTACGGTTAGGCGTTCACACGCACTCTGACGGTAGAATTTCGTTCCGTTTTAAAACTCTTACGGTCAGCGTTACGGTTTCACATTTTTTCATACCGGTATCGTGTGAACGCAACCCCTAAACGTAAAAACAATCTTGTTATATCAACCATGTAACGGACTTGTCAGAACAACCTTGCAACAAGTCTGATAACTTTGACAAGGTTGTGACAAGCAGTGCGAATTATACATCTTGTTGACGGATTGTCGGCAGACTTGTTACAAGATGTGAGAATTTTACGTGTGTATATTACATTACATTGCCCTACATTTTATTACATTAACCCATTTAGTTGCATTGCCTCCCAGTTCGTTCTTACCCTACTCGATCTATTTTAGGCTCGTCAAGACGGGAGCACTAGCACTCAATGAGCTAAATTATCACACTATATTACTAAATCATCACAATGCATCATTTCACTGCACTATTACTGTACTAAAAAGTAACCTTCGCGTATATAAATGTAATAATATAACCATCCTTTGGTGTGAGTTCATCAATACCATATCGTGGTCTCCGACCATTGACGCGGATCATCCAATAGTAGCCCAGCATTGTCCGCTTTTTAACCCCACATATACTTGTAAACAATCTGCCCCACGACAATTTGACGAATACAGCGGTATAGCAAGGATTTTTTAATTTGGCTAACTCTAAAACATTGTAAACCGTTTTCCCTAGTGGCATTTCGACAGATACCATAGGCTCTGTTCTCCTCATGTTGGTCACGTTAAAAACAAGCTGTGCGTGAACTGTGATTATCTGAAACAAGAATAAAAATACAGAGCATTGAGGCCATGCAGGGGGGGGGGGGGGAGTAATACCTATCAGGGCTGAAATAAGTACCCAAGATTAGCATCTTGAAACTCCCGAGAATGAGTTATTTTTATACAGATACATGCTTCTGGCATACATAATTAATCATACATTCTGATTCACAAGATCATAAGCGCCATTTTGGATTAAAAATTTCATAACAACATTATAAAATTAGTAAGTTATTGCATGGTTATTTTTTATTTGCCTCCCCTAAATAAAGTAAAGATAATGGACAATTTGCATGTTAGACTAAATTTTAATCTAAGTAAAGAGAAGGGAATCAAACACCACAGCTAAAAAGAACATAATGAAATTAGTAAAATTGCAAAATGTGGTTGCGAAATGTTGTAAAGCTTGGAAAATATAATCTTGCAAAGTTTGCAAATTTTGTATATATGTTTAGGGGCGGACCCATTATACATCTACACCCCATCTCCCAGCCTTTTTTTACTCAAATCTCAGTTCCGCTGTGAAATTGAAAGAAAATCCCAGAGCAGATGGTTCATCATCAATGCGATGCTTTTTAAACACAATGATTCCTCTTTAGAACTAGTTTTGGCGAGAAAAAGGCATATGACTGACTTACACTAGCAGAAATGACCTCATTGAGCCATAAGGCGGTTAAATTCAATATTCTTGGACTTTGTTATACGAATTCAAAGTTGAGCTATACTGTACTGTAACTTATTAGCAGTCATTTCACCCTGAAATGTCCAACTGCATTTATAATGGTATATGGGTTTTCCCGTTTTGTGTCTTTCATTTCCAGTAACCCAAATCCCATTTCCCCAGTCTACTGACAGGCAAATCTGAGTTCCCATTTATCCCTTCAGAACCCATGGTGTTTAATGAAGAGTTCGAGTAACTATATAATCACATTCTTACCGGTGGCGGTTCAGTTGGATGTTCTAAAATAATAAATAAGAATCATTATAATCTAAATGTTTACCTATATTTGACAATATTAGCGGGTTAACAATAGGTCTTTATTCTTTCCTTGTGTACTTACCTACGGGACAGGTGTACTTTTTTAAACTGATTAAAGACTCCCCTAAAAGCGCGGCAGTGACACGGATATTTGACAGTATTGTTCCAAATGAACCTTCGTCATTTTGATATGTGAGAATATTTCTTATCGCTTTTTCACAGAGATAACTGTCTGTGTGGATACGAGCTGCTTGCAAGGCCTAGAAAATGAATGCACAATACTCAATAGTTTTTTATTTAATTGTGTTTAACACAGCCAACTTCGAAACAAGAAGGATTGTTCCAATCCAAAAGTACTCCTTAAGCAAGTGAAACGCTTTCGGCATGGCTCTTAATGTTCTTGCTTTAAATTTGTTTATATTGAATAACTTTTTCAATTCTAAATCTTCTCATAGAGCACTAGTAAGGGCAATCCTTTCTTGATGCACTGTTACAACTGGGAAAACTATCATTTCTAAAATGTCCACGCATAGCGGGCTTTTGAAACGCGGATTCGGAAAAAGCGGACCACTGGATTGCGGATGCATGCAAAGTGGATCCGGCAAACAATAATACGATCATACCATTATAACATGTGCTGTCGAGATCTGGTTACCAAACGCTCCAGTTGCTGTATTTTGCTTCGTGATCAAATTTTCAACAATTTTTTCAGATGCTCGATTAACTTCATTTTGCATGGAACTGTTGGAAATACACGAGAGAGCTTGCAAAATCAGCGAGTCTATATCACCCGAATGATAACTAACTTGTCGATAAGCTCCGTTGAGAAGTTCCCTTACGACATCGTCCGGCACACGGTGGCCAGCATTGCACAAAGCAATGACAGCCCAGCTATACCTGAAATAATTGTTAAAACTTCGGATTTTCTTGAACAAAGCGAAGCCGGATAGAAGAGGTGGTATTAAATTATATCCGTGAAAGTTTTCAGGATCCTGACAAAGTGATACCACCGTTTGGATTATATGAGCTAGACTATTAGGAATTCTTGAAAGGTTTCCATCTGTGGCGTTCTTTCTATCAAGGAAATTCTTCAGTGTTTCTTCAATGTTAAGGCCGTGTCTGTCATTGAATTCTGACAACAGGGTCTTGGGTTTATGGCCAGCCAATCTAAGAATTGTGATCAACGAACCAGCTCGGTACGGGAGCAGTTCTGTACTGTTGTCCTTGTAGAATTGTTTCATCCAGTCAGAGGAACAAACGACAGCCCGAGTTACGTCGGCATGCAAGGTTTCGCTTGGCTTGACTAAAAATTGACAAATTCACAATGTGAATGGGGCGTTAATGTCTAGTCCTAATTCCTTACCTTCTCGTGTTACTTTTTAATTTAAAAAGAAATTACAAATGTATTTGTTTAGAGATTAATTTAATTTGAATATTTACCATAGAAATAATAGATATCTATTATTTCTATGATATTTACCCATACTGTACATTGGCATCACCTTAGTATTTACACGTGAACTTGTGGTTATACATGGTCTCTCTGTAGCTTAGTTGGTTAAAAGGGGAAGTCAAGTCCGTAATGTAAACAAACGGTTTGTTTACATTTTGAACTGCTGTATTTTTTAAAATATGATGTACTGTTTGAATATCTAACACCATTTTGGTTCGCTATGCTTCTAAATGAATATGAAATAGAGTTTATGTTTAGAAAAATTTGAAACATTCGAAATTTGGGCAATGTTTACATTAGAGGTCCCGTGACTCCCGTCACATTGTTATGAGCAGAACCGATGCGCAAAACGGACTTGACTTCCACTTTAAAGCACTGCAACGGAATCGCAGGATCGATAGTTGCATTCAGTATCGCAACTGCTTCTGGTTATAGGTCTAACATAAATGTAAAAAAATTCCACCTACAAACCCCTTCATTTCTTCAACAATTATTTATATCGAGTGAGATGTCCAAAATCCTATAATGAAAGATATCGCGATCTTCCGGATATGTCAGAGATCACGACATCTTCAAACATTTAGAATCAAAACAAAGTAAAAAAAGTAAAGTTAACCACAGTTATTGCGAAAGTGAACCAATAAATGATAAAATATCGTGTATTTTAGATTTAAGTCATTTAACTATTATTTAACTACACGAAATAGTTAACTACCTTCTATGACTGTCTCAAGTTAAATGCTTACCACAAAACGAAGTTACTTTGCCAGAAAATAGAATCAAGCATATTACAATCACGCCAGAAAATAATTGTTCATTCATGATTTTGTTCATCAGCAAGTTTGAGAATTCGCGTTCACCATCACTGATGTCACTTTGCAATATGATCCACCTGCCGTGGTCTGCGCAATTATCTTTAAATTGGTAAATATTCTCTGCCTGGGCGAATCCTAGATTTGGTGAAGATTAATCCAGATGTCCTTGCAGTGTTGATATTTCTGTAAGTTCCCTGTATTGGTTTGAAGCCCAGTGAAGGTCATTTAGAATGTAACGAAACTCGAAACCACCAAGTTTCTGTTCAAGATTTTATTCAAATCATCACTCAAGCAAGCTCTCGTCCATGCACTTAGACCTGTATTTATAGGCACAGCCGCACAGGAGAGGGGGAGCTGGGGGGCTGCTGCAACTCCAATCATTTTAAGTCTGACAGATTATGCTTTAAAATCAGGCAAATAATGAAAGGAAAGCGCGACGCGTATTACAATAGTGGAAACGCAAGAAATCTGCGAGTTGTTTTCCCTCTCGTGCGCCTATATGTTGGTGTTGTAAAAAACATTTATAGTTGGCAAGAATTAAGAAAGTGTCTAAGATGGTAAAGCCCATACTGACTTTATCACCATGCAGCCTGCACTCAGCCTAAATTATAGTATTAAAAGAAAAGAGAAAAATACATATAGAAATACGTACGCGTATTGCGCGAAACAAATAATAGCACTTGTGATATCTAAATATGTCGAGGCTGTTGGCTTTCCTGATTGAAAATGATGTTTCTGAAACAATCATGATCATTTGGAGGGTATATATAGGGAAGCATTTAAGATTCCCAGATGTTCTTGCAATGGTGTTTCCAATTATAGGCTCACACAGAGGACGAAATGATATTTCAAGACCACGGCTGCCGCAAAGAACACCATAAAATGACATGGTCATTTAACTGCTTGACTTTAATCACCACTTAACCCAGTAAACACCATTCACTGTAAAAACACCATGGTTAAAAATTTCCTGGGCAACCCAAACTATTAACACCGTTTGGGTAACTCAGTAACTTAATGTTCCCGGTTGAATTTCATTTGATCGTAGTCCTGGCTATAATTTAACCAGGATTCCTGGCTAATAATCCACCTAACATAGTCTGGTTAATTCAACCATACAGCATGTAGCCTGCTTAAATTAACCAGGAATCAAGCCTAAAAATAAGCGGCCGGTCACGGACATTGTCCGGTACGAAAAGGTAATTCTCTGGCACAACTGGATTTTTTTGCCCGACAGTTTGTCCGGCAGCATATTATGATACAACTATTGCTGAAAAATTATGTGAATGTCCAAATTTTGTAGCGTATGAATATCAAAACAATATGCCTGTGAAAATGCTGTGAAATTTATGATTGTTCGATTCCGTATGATATAATTGACTAGTGGCTTAATGTTGTGGCTAAGCTTTTCCTTTGCTTCTTTATTTCAAGGACCACTAAAAACTATATTTACTCTATTGCTTTAATATTTTTTGTCAGGCACAAAATGCCCAGTGTCAGGCACCAATCAGTTGGTACCTGACACTTTGTCAGGCACCGTTGGAGATTTATTTCAGGCTTGCCAGGAATCCTGGTTAAATTGGCCACGATAGTGATCAGGGACGCCGGGACTGGGGGGGGGGAGTGCCCTTTGAGTTGTAAAAAACTAAAATACTACCTGACAAATCACATTTCCAGTGATGCTTTTTGGGCAAAATCATGAAGTGTGATCTTGAATGTGACCTCATTAAGTGCGTTTGCTTTCATTGGCAAGTCAACATATTATTGTAGGTTTATATCTTCACCGGGATCTATAGAGGTGCCCCTTTGGTGTGCGTTTGCCCCCCTTTGCCTTTTTATCGTTCCGGCGTCCCTGATAGTGATCAAGTTATAACCAGAACTGTAGTCAATTTAATCAGGAAATTTAACCAGAAACATTAGTTGCGTGTTAATTTTAGGTTAACAAATACATTTTACCCCATGCAGGTATTTTTAGAGTGTATATATGATCTATATCGCATACTCGAACCGACATGACCACGTAGCTCAGTTGGCAGAGCATTGAGCTAGTATTCCAAAGGTCGTAGGTTCGATTCCCACCGTGGCCAGGCATATCAGTTTCAGGCCTGCCCGGTGTGGATATACACTCAGAGTAACATCACAAGCATCTTATCCACCTGAGTACATTACACCAACACAGCAAATATCATGATTATTAGATTGCACTGATATCGAAGGAACTAGACTTAGTTCCGAAATATCGCATACTCGAACCGACATGACCGCGCAGCTCAGTTGGCAGAGCATTGGGCTAGTATTCCAAAGGTCGTAGGTTCGTTTCCCACCGTGGCCAGGCATATTTTTCAGGCCTGCCCGGTGTGGATATATGTACACTCAGAGTAACATCACAAGCATCTTATTCACCTGAGTACATTACACCAACACAGCAAATATCATGTATATGATCTGTAAAAAATTAAGTAACAGTTCAACTGTTATAAATGCAGTTTTAACCATTAAAAGATGAACTTTTTGTATTTGAAATTAATCTCAACTCATTTAGCCCAGATATTACATCATGTTATTAATTTTGTCCCATTTGCATTACTTTACTACTATTACACTTGGATTGCTTGTTTATAATTGTACTTTAGCTATTTAAAAGTCAACTTTTCGTATTTAAATGTAATGAGGTCGCCATCCTTCGGCTTCAATCCGTCGACGCCATATTTGGCAGACTTTTCGTTAACGTAAATCAACCAATAGTAATTTTTCGACGAATCCTTAGCAACACCACAAATACTTGTCACCGAACGGCCGAATGAGTACTTTTTATATGTAGCTGTGTAACAGGAGTTTTGTTTTCCGGCCATGACCAAAATGGAATAGGCTGTTGTTCCTTCTAGTACGCTCACGGACACAGGAGGTTCCGTTCTTCTCATGTCGGTCACGTTGAAAACGAGCTGCACACGGACTGTGATTATCTGGAAAAAAGAAGATTTATTTTATAAACAGGAAGTCCGATATACAATCTACAATCCTGGATGAAACATATTGTCGTATATTTTTGGAGACATGGGGGAAACATGACTAGGAAACACTGTTTCTTGGTTTGCTTACGTTTGGGAAAATATGGCTTTGAAGCAATATGTTTTCTGGTTTGTCCACCTTTGGGGAACATGATTAGAAAACAACCTTGCAAAACCACCGTTTCACACGGCTGAATTTTGAAAATGAAAAAACTACTACAAAAGTGCAAAGTAATTTCTCACCTGAGGAGGAGGTGTGGGTGATGGCACTAATAAAAATAAAATAAACAAACTAAGTTAAATGAACTAAACCAGCTTCGATACTGGCTAGCTCTATCAGTTCTGTGTGAAATGTACTTACTTTTTGTCATTGATTCTTAAGAACAGCTAACGACCTTAATTTGTATACTTTGATTCAAATAGTTTCATTCTCTTTGGGTAGGATGTTTTCTTTGTAATTGTAGAAATAAGAATTGGATTTGAAAAATCAGTAACTTTGTTAACCTTTCTTACCTACGGGACAAGCGTATCTTTTCAAACTGATTAACGATTCTCCCAGGAGGGCAGGAGTGATTTGAATATTTGCCAGAATTGAACCAAAAGACCCTTCGTCATCTTGATATGTGAGAATATTTCTCATTGCTTTGTCACAAGAATAGCCGTCTGTGTGGATACGAGCTGCTTGCAAGGCCTGGAATAAGAAAGAAATCATTCTTTCAACAACTCCAATCCTTTATATAGCGGCACATTAAGTGCTGTTGAAATGCTTACCAATATTTATATTTTTTAATATTTTATTTTATTTTTTAATATATATATATTTTTTTATTTTTCTTTATATTTTATTTTATTTTTTCATATATTTTTTTTAATAGTTTTTTTTTTCATATTTAATCTGACACTGCAGAGATAAAGCACTAAATTACTAGATTCTTATCAATCCTTGATGGCTTAATGATTAATAGAGCGGCGGTTTAGAAATCCTAAAATGCGAGTTCGAATCGATCCACTCAAGACAACAATCTTTTCGTTGTACTCTGTAACCTGGCAACAATTTCCAGACATTTTGTTGTTCCCAAGTGTTACTTTTTGTTGCAGAAACGATCGATGTTTCCTGGTTTGTCCACCTTCGGAAAGCATGGCCAGAAAACGAGTCTCCATGTTTTCACATTTCTATGAAACATGGACATGAAATAGTGTTTCCTTTCAAAAATATGGCTAGGTTTGCCCACCTTTAGAAAACAATGTTTTTTGTTTGCCCACCTTTAGGAAACATGGCTGGGAAACAAATGGGTTTTTTTCGAAAACAGTCTAGGAAACAATGTTTGGTTTGGAAAACATGTCTGCATATATGGGAAACAATATGCCCTGTTTGCCCACCTTTCTTTGGTATAAACATGGCTAAAAAGCAATGTTTTCTGGTTTGCCCAGCTTTTTTGAAACCTGTATGGCTGTTGGAACAATAGTTTAAGCTCCTAGGTTTTCCTCGATATATATATTTACCTCGACAGCTAGTGCTGTTGTATACTGATTTCCAAACGCTCCAGTTGTTGTATTTTGCTTTGAGATCATGCTTTCAATAAGTTTCCCTATGGCCCGATCCACTTTGCGTTGCAGGGATCTATTTGAGGTTGACACACAAGACAAAGCGGTTGAAATCAATGCGTCAATATCAACCGAATGATAGCTGACTTTTCTGTTTGCACCTTTAATTAATTCTTTGATGACAAAATTCGGGACCTTATTGCCTGCATTGCAGAGGGCAATTACAGCCAAACTATAGCCGAAATAATTGTTGAAACTTGAATACGTCTTGTATTTAGGAAAGCCGGCCAAAAGAGGTTTTATTAGGTTATATCCATGGAAGTCTTTAGGGTCCTTACAAATTGATATCACTCCTTGAATAATGAGGCCCAGTTCGGGAGTGGCGATGCTTGATAGATTTTGCACGGTGTTCAGTTTGTTTTTTAGGGTTTCGTCGATGGAGTTGCCCTGTCCGTCTTTGAAGTCGGTCAGCAGTGTGCTAGGATAGTGGCCAGCAATTCTGAGAGTCGCAAACATTGAGGCAGCCCGGTACGGCCGTAGTTTTGTAGTTTTTTCCGCGTAGAATTGCTTCATCCAGTCAGAGGAACGGACAACTGCCCGAGTTAGGTCGGCATGTAGACCTTCGGTTGACTTTTCTAAAAATAATAAATCCAATATAAACTATGTTTATATATAGTCCACTAGCTTTATACCAGTTTTTATATCATTTACATGTAAATATGGCAGTGAATGGTCGCTCAGGATAAACTGTATCTATACATATAACATAACGTATACATGCATGGCAGTACCACAGAATAAAGACATACAGAAGTGTATCTTCTTATTAAAAGTGCGTAAGGGATTTTTTCAGTCCGCCATGTTCTTAGCAAGTGCCCGAAAGAGAGGCAGTCACCCCCCTGAAAACATATTGAAAATTTAATATTCCAGGGGGGTGAATGCCTTTCTTTAGGGCACTTGCTAAGAACATGGCCGCCAGCTATTTCGGTAAAAAAGCGCCCTACGGTTTTGTAATGGAAGTTACACTTCTGTATGTCTTTATTCTGTGGCAGTACCTTAGTATACATGAACTTGTGCATGGTTAGAGCTCGATAATTGGTCTCTAGCTGTAGCTCAGTTGCATGGTTTAATGGAGCCACAGAGGAGAGACTATAATATACTCTGTGTTAGAGCACTGTACCGGAATCGCATGCAGGGCATAGATATCTTATATACACTAGATACTGCATCTAATTATTCTACAATTCAAAAATTGAAGCCGTGAATGCAGACTCAGGATATTCCCATGAAATGAGAAGATTCGTATGTTTTCTATTTCTTAAACACGGAACTTAAATATTAAGGTAAACCTATTCCAAACACATTTTTAAACTATTCAGATGACGAAAGTTATTGTTGTTTTTTAAGCGTTTATTAGCGAGTGGGAAACACCAACATGGTCGCCATCTATTCAAATGGGGGTAACCGCTGGAATATTCTTGTCTTCAATTTTACTAATAGAGATGCGCTATCTAGTCTATCATAAGATATCTATGGTTGTTGCACAAGCAAATTCTTAAGCCTGGCGCACACGATGCGATTTTAGTCGGCCGATAAAAATCGTTTGACATACCGATATACATCGGTATATACTCCGCACACGATTGAACTGTAGCTGCCATGTTGCCAAATAAATACAAGCACGTGATCACAGCATGAAATCTGATTGGTTATACTTAAAATTCCACCGATAAAAATCGTATAATATCAAAACGTTTTGATGTTGTCCGATTAAAATCGAGCAACAAAAATCGGTTAAAAATTACACCGCACGGCACACAACGATTTTGTTAGTTTTAGTCAAACGATTTTTATCGGCCGACTAAAATCGCATCGTGTGCGCCAGGCTTAAGTTTGAAGGGAATTGAAGAAATTGTAAGAACTTGTAAGAAATTGTAAGAAATGTTTGAGGCAACTGCACAGAATAAGGCACACAGAAGGGCCTGGCCGCCATCTTCCTAGCCAGTCGATTACATTTTCTGGCCAATAAACGCGCTGTATTGGCTGAAGGCCCCGCCTTCTGGCCAGTCAACTGCATGTTTTTGCATAGAAAAATGGCGACACGTTGCACCGCTGAGTGGCCCTTCTGGTACTGATCTTTATTCTGTGGCAATTGGCCATGTCACTGTTTAATTATTAACACTGACTCAGTTCCCCCCAACCTTTCTTACACATCCGTCAAAACATAGAATTTATACCTATATGCAAAATTCCTACTATCATCACAGAAACTTTTATAGACGTGTAAACCATGCAACTAAACCAGCCTTTATTAAGTTGTGTATGATCTGTCAAACGGATGATTCCTCTTCACAGATATCAGTATTGCCCGGGCCAATATTTTTCATGAATCATTGTCATTCGGAAGATTTTATACAGTCTACAAAGTATAGAAACTACAGTACCCCATTTCCCGTTCGACTCGATTAATTTGATAAACAATTAATGTACTAAATTAAAAATACCGTGGCCTACCACAAAATGGATGCGCCTTGCCAGATAACGAGATAAAAAACACAATGAAGAACACTCGAGCATTCATTATGTCGTTTAGACCAGATTGGCAGATTCTGAAAACTTTGCTCCGTAATCTGTAGCCTTCACTTTCAGATGGCTTAAGGATAACAAATTAATTTGCTCGTGACAGCCTGTGTTGACTTTTGAGCGAAATATTTGTGCTGAAACGGCGTCGATGTTTACGCAAATGCATGACGCAGTTTAATTGTATTTTGTTCGAATTAGATTCCGTGTTTATTTTAAATTTCTATAAGAAGTTCAAAAAGGTCAAGTTGTATTATTAAAAATGAAAATTAACTGTGATTCTATTCAGGGTTTCTTGGTAACAATGCATATTACCGAAATCAGTAGAGTGTCTTTTCCGGAAGTTGAAAAGACAGTCAGAAGCCAGTAGAAACGTTCATGTTTTATGACGTCACGGTGAAGGAATGCAGCGTGGAACTTGTAAGTTATTGCATAGGAACTTGTAAGTTATTGAGCTGTGAAC